TATACATATATATATATATATATATATAGATGCTCCTACAGGTCATGGGAGGAGCGCAATCCTTCAAGCATGACTTGAAACGTCATACTCCGTACCGGGCTGGCCAGACAACATCGTCTGAGGCCGCCTGAGTTACACGCGCTTATACAGCGATACGCTCGCAAGGCAACTTTGCGCGCAAGGGTACTTGCTTGCGGGCTCACCTTCCTTATGACCCTGCGTTTTGCTGCCTTTCGTACATATAGTGTTTACTGTATATTGGCGGCGGACTCGCGCTTCGTCTCCCCCCCGATTCTAAAGTGAGTTGGGACAATGGCGAGAGATAGCGAGAGCTTGTCCGCGGCCACTTGGGCTCAAGCGGCCGGCCGTCAATATATGATTGCGCCTCATTGCCAGGCGCACTATTTGCCATCGGGACCGAAAACATTTTCGCCTGAGATGGCCCATCGCTCCCGCGACGACTCTTGCGTCTGTGACTATCGCTAGTACGGTACAACAGAGCTGGAGCCGGGCTTCGCCTGAGGCGAAGCTGCTGGTTGGGCCTCCCAGCCCTTTTCAAACTCCTTCTGGCGTCTTGGGGGCATCGTGGGCCGTCTTGAGGCCATCTTGGGCGTCCTGCATCGATCTTTCGGCGACACGGGGCCCTGTTGGACCTTCCTGGGTGCCTCTCGGGACCTTTTTGGCCCATCTTGGGGGCCTTCGGTAAGGCCCGAAGAATTCCTGCCACAAAACGCCCCGGGCCCCAGGGGCCACGCGACCAGCCCCGGGAATTCTGGCAGTTTTGGGGTCCGGCCCCCGTCAAGACTCCTCAGCTGATGTTGTGAAAGGGGTTGCGGCGGGGGCCCATGCCGAGAAACACCCTGCTTGCTTCCAGGGTGCCCTGGGCTTCCTGGGTTTCGATGGTTTTGTCATGGACTGCGCGGCGGTTCCCGCACCAAGAATCGATGGAAGTCCTGGGGGTCTCAGGGTTGGGTTTCTCGTGGAAGGTTTCTGGTGGTCGAACTCCGACTGCCTTGGCATCGCTCGAACGTGTGCATTTTTCCTTCGGCGAGGACCATCGAGGAGCATCCTTGATCATTTGGCGAAAAAACCACGCACGAGACCGAAACAAACACAGAGAATGGACGTCCAAGCGATGGCGAGCTGTAGACCAAGGACCTAAGGACGTTCGAATTCGTGCCTCAGGGGCACGGTGGCGGATCTGGTCCACACGTCCGCCCCTCGTCGGGCGGTGCCGCGACGGCTCTGCGGCGATCTCCCGACGCAAGTCCGACGCAACGCCGACGTGAATCCGACGTGCATCCGACGTAGAGGCCGAGGTCGTCGCCTTGGACACGGGTCTGAGAGCTTTTCTGAACGCCTTCTCTTCCTCCTCCTCTGCCGGCCCTCTCCTCCCCTCCCCCTGTGGTTCCAACAGTTTTACACTGCACACAGCGCCGCCAATCTGTCTCCAGAGAGGTATAGCACAGGCAGTCCATGGACTCGAGCCGAAGGCTGAAAGAAAGAAAGACGTGCATCCGACGTAGATCCGACGTAAAATTGGGTCTCAAGTTGCCGCGCGGGGCCTCCATGAGCTCCCCCACAACACGTGCTCGCTCGTGCGGGACATCCGCCCCCCCGTTGCCGCGTGTTGCCTCTTCGGCGCCAGGTGGCCAGCAGGCGATGCGAAAGACGCTGAGCTGCCTCTTCCGGGAATGCATGACGGCGACCTCTCTTTTTGTTCGGTTCGCGACGCTCGCTGGCTTCTCACGCGGGCAAGCATTTGGATAGAAGGAAGAACGGTCGTTGGAGGGCAACGCCGATCTGGTCCTAGAAGACACAGCTGGGGCATGTGCCAGGTACTGGTATCCATTCCGAGCCACAAGTGTATATGGACACTCTGGGTGTCGTTTCGTACATATAGACTATATTGACACCTTCGGGTGCATACGCCTCTGGACAATGTGGCCGTTGCGTTTGGCGCAAGACCGGGTTGGCGACCGGGCATATTCGTATATCGGATTGTCTTGTTGAAAGCAGGTCACACAGGGTATTTCAAAGCATTCGTTCCGAACCCCCCTTGGGCAGGAGTGCGTCCGACGTCGACGAGCGGGGTGCAGCATATGGCAGGATCGGGGGACGTCAGCTGACCACACCTCGCCAGTCCCGGCCAGGCCCGTCTTGGGTTCGGTATGGGTGCATATTTGGCCAAGTCAGGAGGGCGTAATTACACAGCGATCGATGATCCTTAGGATTTGCGTCGGCCTAGTGTGTGCGTGCCCCAGTCAGCTCTGCCGATCGCACACGCAGCCTGCCACGGCCATCATTACATCGTCCGCGTCGCACTGAAGGGCTTCGGTGGACAAACGCACGCTGGCGCCGACACACGTTCCGAGACTGCGTGTTCTGCCCTCTTGCGCGTGGCGGTCGTTACCCCCAACCCCCACGGGTAACAGTAGCAATCGCACGTTTTGTGGGGGGGGCCTGGCCCCACCCAGCCCACATGCTGGTGCCCGAAGGCACGTTGTGCCCGGCTGTGGCGATGGCAGCGCGCCCCGCCCCGACGTGCCCCACCCCGCCCACGCGTCGCTGTTACCCGAGACACCTCCCCCCCACAGGTAACGACCATCAATTACGCATCAACAGTTGTTATATACAAAATCAATGTCGAGGATCATCGAACTGATCCTGAGCCGAGGGCGGGCCCGGATCCGCGGGGCGGGGGCCCAGCGGAGGCTCCCGTGAAACCAGTGGTTGCGCATCTGGAGCGCCCTGCCGTGGCTCCCACGTCTGTCTTCGAGGAACACCTCCGCGGCCGTGAGTCTGTTGGTGGTGCAAGGACGAGGTCAGATATTAGCATTCGTTGGTGACGAGGGTGCTGGTGCACGTGTCTACGGTCAGGAACCTTCGATTAGCGTGCCGCCGCGCCTGCGCTGGTCTTCACGCTTCGGAGCGACACGCTAAGCGCGTCCCAGTCCCCGAGCATCGATGTCCCGTCCCGAGTTTTTTCCCCGCCTCCGCTGCAACGAAGTGCGAAGCACGCCATCAGCTAGCAAGGGCCTTAGGGATAGCATGTCGCATGTGCCGCCGACGCGACACGCTAGGCATCAGTTCCAGACCGTAGGTATCATCATCATCATCAGCAGCAGCATCATCAGCATCAGCATCAGCATCAGCATCAACATCAGCATCATCATCATCAGCATCAGCATCAGCATCGTCATCATCAGCAGCATCATCATCATTATCATCATCATCATCATCATCATCATCATCATCATCATCAGCATCAGCATCAGCATCAGCATCAGCAGCATCATCATCATCATCATCATCATCATCATCATCATCATCATCGTCATCCCTAGGCATCGCATCCAGAGTCGTGCAGATGTGGGACTTTCTGTGTTGTTTGTGTTTCAGCTGTCCTTGTCTGCCCCTTGGGGGATCTTCGGGCCACCGTGGTGGTCGTCTTGGGGTGTTTGTGCCGGGCATGGTGCCTTTCTAACGGCGTTCGACAAATCCCGCCGCCGTTCTTGGGTTGTGGGAGCATGGCCGGGAGCACCGCGGCTTTCTAGGATGTGTGTTTCTTGGGACTCCCTCCGAACCTATTTTGGCCCCTTGGGGCCTCTTGGTGGTTTCTCGGGGGTTCACCCGTCGTTCTTTAGAACGGAGCCTCCAATGACTCCTGGGCCGTCGAATGGCGACTTTGGGGGCCTCTTGCGCCGTCTTGGTCATCCGTCAGACAGAGAAAGGCGAGAATGTTAAAACATCGTGCTCGAACCGTCACTTGCTTGACGATTTGGGCTCCTCGGACCGACCCCGAGGGCCTCCACGACGGCCTGAGAGACTTGCAAGACGGCTCCAGGACCAACCTCGAGGACCAGCTCATCTCAGGGCATCCAGGAAGCCTGGGCCCCCCAAGGACGCACCCGATGCTTCGGGAAAGGCCACGCGCCAAGCCTGCGCGCAGTAGATACCATCTTTGATAGGGATGGGTCTCCGGGCGCCCTTGGAAAAGAGCATCATCTATAAAGCTACACATGCGAATTTCTTGAGGAGTTGGAGACACTCTACTCAATGCCTGCGGCACGGTGGCGGATTGAACGAATATGCTGTAATAACCCGTATACACGGGTACCTAGCTTGATTTGCTAACATTTTGTTTTTTTCGTTTTCGGACCCATGCGCGCTTTTCGCTGAACTACACCCGTTTCCGAATCCTCGCTGTCGCGAAACGCCACCGTCCGCTGAACCATCGACCGAGAGTCCAGTCTTGCAAATGCATGAAGCCGTCTGAAGAATTGGACTGCGACACCGCAGCGCTCACAGTGGAAATGCGTGCGTGTGTGAGATCCAATCCTGAGCCCTTGGCAGATGGAAATACACGCAACCCGCCAGCCATGAGCTCCGATGATGCGGATGCGTTCGCGGGTTGGCGTTGGGGTGCTGTGCGCGCAGACGGTCGCGGTACCGAGGTATTGAGAGAGAGAGAGAGAGAGAGAGAGAGCATGCTCTGGGATGTTCGCGCCGTCCCCGTACCGACCTCGAGCAGTTCCTGACTGCAGTGCTGGCGCCACTCGCGGATGCGTCCAAGCTGTCGTCTCGTCGTCGTGCTGCCCCTTTCGTGGCGCCACAACATGCGCAGATCGCAGCCTGGCGCCAGCAACCCCGGGAGGGCCAGGCGGACCATGGGTGTCCTCGAAACCTCGCCCGCCCAGCGTGTGTTGCCGTTGGTAAGACTCGCACTCCGTCACCCAGGGAGTGCCACGACGTGCTCCGCGATGCTGTGCTGGGCCCTGCCACCAGTGTGTTGTGGGATCGCGTGCCGCGCCTTGGGCTGTTCGGGGGGCTCTTCGGCGCACGCGGCAAGCTGCGGCGTCGCGGTGTTGCGGCTCTCCGCGCCGTGACCCACAGTGGGCAAACGAGTCCATTTTGACGCCCGGATCATCCAGCTAATTACCTCACGGGCTCAAAGATAACCGCGCGTCGCGCATCGTGGGGCGTGGTGTGCGAAGGCAGGGGACCTAGATCCGCGGAGGAGTAATCATGGGATGGGCAGTCCGCTAGTTCTCCTGGGGCCTGCCTGTCAGGAGCAGCTCAGGACCATGTCCGCAAGAAGGCTCGGACTGATGCGTGCCACCAGCCGTCCGCAGCTCCTTCTCCCCCTTCGAGGCCTAAATCCGCTTGGTGGCCAACCGCAGCAAGTTTGGGCTCAGGGGCTCAGTCGCCGCCTTCTGGCACCAGTCTCAGCGCACCTCTTCCGCCCTCACCATGGTGCTGGAGGCTCAGCTGCAGCAGGCCATGCTGCTGAAGAAGGTGGTGGACGCCATGAAAGACCTCTGCAAGGACGTGAACTTCGACTGTTCGGAGAAGGGGCTCCAAGTGCAGTCCATGGACAGCTCGCATGTGGCCCTAGTCTCGCTGCTTCTCAGGGAATCTGCGTTCGCAGAGTTCAAGTGCGACAGGCCGACCTCGCTGGGCATGAACGTGGACTCGCTGGGCAAGATCCTGAAGATGTGCGGGCAAAACGACTCGTTGAAGCTGCGCGCGCAGAATGACGCAGACGTCGTGAGCTTCCAGTGCGAGAGCGGGGAGGATGACCGAATTGCCGACTTCGACCTGAAGCTGATGCAGATCGAGAGCGAGCACATGGAGATCCCCGAGCAGCACTACAAGGTCGTGGCCAAGCTGCCGTCAGCGGAGTTCCAGAAGATCTGCCGCGACCTCAAGGAGTTCGGGGAGACGATGCAGGTGAAGGCCACCAAGGAGGGCATTACATTCACCGTACAGGGTGACATGGGCGCCGGCAACGTCATGTTGAAGCCGCGCGCGGCAGAGAAGCCCGAGGACGCGGTGAGCCTCACCGTGCACGAGCCAGTCTCTGCCACCTTCGCGCTGCGCTACTTGGTGAACTTCGCCAAGGCCGCGCCGCTGTGCGGCACGGTGGAGCTTGGTCTCGGTCCAGATGCGCCTCTGCTCGTGAGGTATAACCTGGAAAACGCGGACAATGGCCACTTGCAGTTCTACCTGGCGCCAAAGATCGACGAGTGAGACCGAGACCGTTGTGATCCTTGCAGAGGTGAGAGCCAAGCAGCTCTAGGGGTGTACGCAGGGCCACCTTGTGTCCGCACTCGGCGGCTACTGTGACGGCAGAGCTGTGAACGTTTCCAACAGCTGCCCTGCGCGGGTGTGCAGGTCGGGGTTGCATCAGCATCAGTGACACCAATCATTGGAGCTGAGTGGAACAATGAGGCCCTTGGGTGTTCGGGGAGGGAGACTCTGCCCCTCATGGGCTTCCTCCAAGCTCTCCTGCTCCGCCCCCTCTCCTTGTTCTCCTGCTCCTCCTCCGCCTCACTCCTCTCGCATCCGTCGTAGCGTGGTCTGGCGAGACCAGCAAGGCAGCACATGCGACACGCTGGCGTCCAGCCGTGACGCCCAGACATGGATATTCGTTTGTTTGTGCTATGTGCCTGTGCTCCAAATCCCTTATTAATCGACCCCCCCTAAAAAACCGGACCCCCCTCCAAATGCGACCTATTATTCCGGACCCCCCTCTTCGATGGGGCGGGTCATTAAATTGGACCCCTAAGCTCCGATCCAAGGGAGCGCCCTAATAAACCGGACCCCCCAGTTACAAAAAAGGTACCTTAAAAACCCGGACCGGTGGGACGATTAATAAGGGATTTGGAGTATCCGTCTAGCATGTGCCGGGTATCGGTCACAGTCGTGCGTTTTGCGGGGGGGGGGGCCCGAGACCCCGCCACCCCGCATGCTGGTGCCCGAAGGCACGTTGTGCCCGGCTGTGGCGATGGCAGCGCGCCCCGCCCCGACGTGCCCCACCCCGCCCACGCGTTGCTGTTACCCGAGACACCTCCCCCCCACAGGTAACGACCATCAATTACGCATCAACAGTTGTTATACACAAAATCAATGTCGAGGATCATCGAACTGATCCTGAGCCGAGGGCGGGCCCGGATCCGCGGGGCGGGGGCCCAGCGGAGTCTCCCGTGAAACCAGTGATTGCGCATCTGGAGCGCCCTGCCGTGGCTCCCACGTCTGTCTTCGAGGAGCGCCTCCGCGGCCGTGAGTCTGTTGGTGATGGAAGGGCGAGGTCAGATATGAACATTCCGAGGGTTCTGGTACACGTGTCTACGGTCAGGAGCCTGCGATTAGCGTGCCGCCGCGCCTGTTCTGGCCCACCACGCTTCGGAGGGACACGCTAAGCACGTCCCAGTCCCCAAGCATCGATGTCCCGACACGCCATCAGCTCGCAAGGGATGGCATGTCGCAGGTTCCGCCGACGCGACACGGTAGGCAACAGTTCCTCATCGTAGGTACCACCATCATCATCATCATCATCATCATCATCATCATCATCATCATCATCATCATCATCATCATCATCATCATCATCATCATCATCATCATGATCATCATCATCATCATCATCATCATCATTATCATTATCATTATCATCATCATCATCATCATCCTCATCCTCATCCTCATCCTCATCCCCATCCTCATCCTCATCCTCATCCTCATCCTCATCCTCATCCTCATCATCAGCAGCAGCATCAGCATCAGCAACAGCAGCATCATCATCATCAGCCCTAGGCATCGCATCCAGAGTTGTGCAGATGTGGGACTTTGTGTGTTGTTTGTGTTTCAGCTGTCCTTGTCTGCCCCTTGGGGGATCTTCGGGCCGACGTTGGCTGGTGTTGTGGCGTTTTGCCGTTGTCTCGGGGTCGTCCTGGGCTGTTTTTGGGCCGGGGGGGGTCTTTCCAGTGGCGTTCGATGCTGGGGTCGGTGCTGGTGTCGATGCTGGCGTGAGAGGTGGCTCCTGTGCTGGAGTCGATGTTGTCTTCGATGCCAGCGTCGAGGCTGGCGCCGATGCTGGTGTCGGTGCGGGCGCCGGTGCTGGCGTCAGTGCTGGCGATGTGGGCCGGGAGTCGAGGCGGAGCGTCGTTGTGGCTGGCGTCGGTGTTGCTGGCGAGGGGAAGGGCCACCGCACGGCCAGAGGGAGAGGATATGAGGCAGAGGCCCCGTCTGCCCCTCAGCCGCCCGGGGCGGGCGCCTCGTGTTGGTGCTGCTGCCGGTGGCCGTCGTGGTGTCGCATGCCTAGAGGTTGACACCAACACCAATATCGGCGGTGTGCCTCCACCGAGGGAAGAAGATCCCGATCTCGGTGATGGTGGTAATAGTCTGGCTTCCAAGGGGGCCGAAATATTACCACCAACATCGAAACCTAGGATCATCTTCCCCCTGTGGAGGCAACCCCCTGTGTTGGTGTTGGTGCTCATTTCCAGGTCTCCAATGGTGCGCGTTGCGATGCTGCCGGTCATAGGTCTGGAGGTCGGAAAGGGGTGCGGCATAGAGGGTATGGTGCCAATCGCGGAAGCGGCGATGCTATCTGCGATGAATAACGTCGCAAGGGTCCCCTTTCCATAAAGTTAGCGCCACGCCCCTTTCTACCATATGTACCCCTTTCCTACCTCCAGAACCCCTGCTTCTCAGAGGGCGCGGGGCCTCACCTGTAGATGTAAGGCTGGCGCCTTCTAAGAAGCAGCCTCCCTCTAAGAAGCCCTCCCCCCCGCCCCCTGGTGCGCGCCGCCAACATAGGGATAGGTGCTGGGTGGGGCGTCGGGTAGGACACAGTCAACCCGCATAGTAAGGATGGGCAATTTTCCCAAGGGTACCCTTGCATCCTTGCCCCTTCAGCCCATCCTTAGCGACGCTCGCTGGCCATCCTCGTCCGAAAAACGTCAACATCGCCCCTTAAGGTCCCTGCATCCTTACCGCGCATCCTTGCTATACGGGTTGGCTGCATCGGGTGAGGCGTCGGGGGAGGCGTGGGGATGGGCGGCGGGTGGGGCGTCGAGTGGCCCGTGCGCAGTTGTGCGCCTGGCCCGCCTCGGGGCCTCTCGCAGGGCCTGCCTGGTCGGCGCGGGCGTCGGTGCCGGCGTCGGTGCTGGCGTCGGTGCTGGGGCTAAGGCGGGCACGTGCCTCTACAGGGGGGAGATCCCCAAATAGTCCAGAAATAGTCTGGAGACGATTCTTCTGAATATTTTTGGGCTACTTTTCATTCTTCGTCCAGAATCCGCCTGTAGGGGGACATGCCCGACCTGATGCTAGGGTCGATGCCGGTATCGATGCTGGTCGGAGGAGGAAAAGGTACCCATAGCGCTGCCCTCCCCTTGTTTTTCCCCCTTTTTTGGTGCTCCGGGGCCTTCGTCGTCGCCACCGCTGGATTCGCCTCGAATCCTGGTCAGAACGCGCCCTGGGAGAGGTCCGGGGAGTAGCGGTGTCGGTACCTTTTGGTATCCCCAGCTGGTGTCGATGCTGGTTCGGATGCTACAGCCGATAGTGTCTTCGATGCTGGCACCGATGTTGTCGTCGGTGCTGGCGTCGATGCTGACGCTGATGCTGGGGGCAGTGCTCGCGTCGATGCTGACGTCGGCGCTTGCACCGATGCTAGGATCGACGCTGTCCTCGACGATGGTGCGGATGCTGGCGCCAGTGCTGAGGTTAACATTGTGGACGTCGGTGCGGGTGTTGATGTTGACGGTGAAGCTGGCGTTGATGATGGCGTCGATGCTGTCGAGAGGGCTGGTTTCGATTCTTGGGTCGGTGGTGGTGTCGATGCTGGCATGGATGCGGGTTCGACGCTGGAGACGATACTGTCCTCGATGCGCGCGTCGATGTTGGCGTCGGTGCTGGCGTCGGTGCCGGCGTCGATGCTAGGGTGGATGCTGGCGTCGGTGCGGACGTCGATGCAGGCTCCTGTGCTGGAGTCCATACTGTTTTCGGTGCTGTTGTCAATGCTGGTATCGGTATTGACATTAGTGTTGGCGTCGATGCTGGGGTCCGTGCGGGTGTCGGTGCTGACGTCGATGATGGCTGCGTGGCTGGAGTCAAGGCTGCCTTCGGTGCTGGCGTCGATGCGGGTGTCGATGCTGGCGTCAATGATGGATTTGATGTCGGAGTCGGTGCCAGCGTCCATACTGATGTCGCTGCTGGCCCCAGTGGTGGAGTCAGTGCTGTCTGCGATGCCAGCGTCGATGCGAGGGTCGATGCTGGGGGGGGGGTGCTGGCGTCGGTGCTGGAGTCTATGCTGGTGTTTCTGATGACGTAGATGCTGGCTCAGGTGCTGGAGTCAGCCCTGTCTTCGATGCTTGCGTCGATGCAGGCGTCGATGCTTGCGTCAGTGTTGGCGTCGACGCTTGCGGCAGTGCTAGTGTCGATGCTGGGGTCGGTGCTGGTGTCGATGCTGGCGTCATTGCTGGCTTCGAGGCGGGGGTCGGTGCTGGTATCAATGCGGACGTGAAATCTTGCTCTGGTGCCGGAGTCCATGTTGTCTTCGATTCTATAGTCGATGTTGGCGCCGATGCTGGCTCCGGTACTGGCGTCGGTGCTGGCGTCCATGCTGGGGTCGATGCTGGCGCACGCTTCTGGTAATTGGGCAGTCACCACGGTCGGCCTCCGGCCCACCCATGATGTTCGCCATGGCCTTCCTGGCGGCCTCCTCGGTCTCGCAGTGGACGAAGCCGAAGCCATGAGACTTCCCGAGCCAGTCGGTCGCGACCTTGCAAGTCCAGGATCCTGTCGCAGAGGCTGGAGGTGTCGTGCAGGGCGCTGTTGTCGATGTCGTAGTCCAAACTGCCGACGCATATACTCCCGGCGCCGCTTTTGCGCATGCGTCGTGTTGGGTCCGCGTGATGCGGCACGAGTGCCCGTCAATGTAGGAGTAATTCAGGATGTCAAGCACCCGGGTGGCGTCCTGCTCGCTGTGGAAGTCGACGTTTGCATATACAGGATATCCACGGGCGTTGCAACCGTGGCACCATGGCATAGCCCGTTCGAGGCAACCGTTCTTATGGAGTTGAAGAGGGCGTGGAGCTTTACCTCGCTAACGCAGGGACGGGGATCGCAGACGAATAGGGAGGTGGTGCTAGCGTTGCCGCTCCTGACGTTGTCCCTTACAGTTCGGGCGTGGGGTTGCGCGTCAGAGTCGACAGCGCTTCCGTGTCCCTTTACACACTGAGGCGCTGCCGGTGCGGACGTCTGGTTGGTTGTCGGGTGCGGAGTCGGTGCGGATGTCGGGCTCGGTGTCGGGTTCGGCATCGGGGAGGATTTCGTGTGGGGCGTCGGGGAGGGCCTCGCGCGGGGCGTCGGACGAAGCGTCGGGGAGGGCGGCGCCCTCGCAGGGAGGGGCGTCGGGCAGGTCCTCGTGGTCTAGTTGAGTTTGAATCCCTCCTCGTCGTCCTCCTCGTGGTCAGTCCTCGCCGTCGTCCTCCTCCCCCTCCCGACCCCTACCCCCCACCGCAGGGGAGGGTGGCGGGCGGGGAGGTCGTCGACCCCTCTTTTGGGGGAGGAGGACCTGGCCCACCGCGAGCTCGTACGTCCTGGTGCTCGCGGTGTGCGCCGGCGTCGTGGGAGTGCAGTGAAGATCCACAGCAAGGGCGGGTAGCCTTCCCCACGACACCCTTGCGTCCTCA